GAAAAAGGTTATGTTAATCATTAATTCACATGTCACGTCACTGTTCCATCACTCATCATATGAAGATGAAATATTGTATAATGTACACTATATAAGTAATAGTAGATTAATTAATTAATTAATTAATTAATACACACAAGCACAGAGAGGCGGGGGCAGCTTAATCAAATCTTTTAAGTTTCTGCCACTACTTCTATGCTGGTAATGTATTTTTGGTCCATAGTAGTTACGGGTTGACAGATTTGTTTTCCATTATGCATAATTCTGTGCATTTATAATTTAGGTATTATCCACAAACCAAACTATCTTGATTAAGAAATATATTGTTATTTTTTGAAGTTTTTAGGTTCAACGTTATTATTAAATGGTTGAAATCCTTGAACATATATTACATCGTATTCATTTCAATTTTATCAAAGAAATAACTTTGGGTTGTATTTTTTTTAGTAAAAGATGAGATAATAAATGATATTTAAAAGAGTCAATTGTATTACATGTACTTAAATTATGATTCACTTTATAAATTGATTTTTAATTTTTAAGGGTAAAAATATATAAATGGTCATTGATTATAGGATATTATTTTGTTGAGTCCCTCAACTATTAAAAATTATTAAAAATAGTCCTCGACTATAGGGTACTATTTTGTTGAGTCCAACGACTATTAAAAGTTACAAAATGGTCACCCCACTATTCATATGTTCCAAACTCATTCTTTACTATTAAAAAATGGCGGATGTTTGAGATGGACGTTAAGTTGTTAATTGATATATGATAAAATATGATCTTAGAACCGTTTGATTTGTATTTTATAGATCGACTCTCTGTTTACATTATGTCGTTGAGATAGTGTATGAAACATTATGCCTTCGAGTCAGTGCTTGATAGCGACGACAGTGCCAATAGATATTAAAATATGATTTTTTCATATCACAGTCAATAGGTTAACGTCAAACTCAAACAATCGTCAGTTTTTTAATGTAAAAGGACGAGTTTAGAATATATGAATAATTTGATTATCATTTTATAACTTTTAATAGTTGGGGAACCCTACAAAAAATGGCATATAGTTGGATGACTATTTTGTAACTTTTAATAGTCAAGGGACTCAACAAGTTAATATCTTATATTGGGGGACCATTTGTGTACTTTGCCCTTTCTTTAATATTTTGATTTCATCCTCAAACTACGACTCTCATTTTAAATCAGTCCTCAAAATTTTTAAAATTTCAATTTTCTCCCTCAAACCATGACCTACAATCTAAATTGAACCCCAAAATTTTAAACATTTCAATTTCATCCCAAACTATAGTTATATGTTAATCACATTCTCTATTAATAAAATCGCTAGGACAAACTATATTATTAGATGTTTGAAGAAAAATAACATTTAAGTTAAATTATAGTTGAAACTAATTACATAGTTGGATGGATTTGGGATTAAATTGAAATATTCAAAAGTTTAGGGATTAATTTAGAGTGAGGATTATAGTTTAAGGATGAAATTGAAATGTTCAAAAGTTTAGGGATTAATTTAGAATGAGAATATAGTTTAGGAATGAAACTAAAATATTCAAAGTTTGATGATCAATTTAAAATGAGAGCAATAATTTAAGAACATGTGATACAATTTATTGAATTATTATCTTGATATTAAAAAAATTGTAAAATTAATTTTTGGACTTAATCAAATTTGTCAAAATTTCTCAAAAATAGTTCAAAGTCTCAATCAACTTGAAAATTAGTTTTAAATGTTTTCCAACTTAGTCAAATCTTTTCAAAAACATATTCGACCATTTTCATGCTTAAGTCAAGTTTCCAACGTATTTTGGCTCAAAGGATCAATTTCCTTGTTAAATGATCGATCCCTTAGATTCTAGTAGCCCCCTCAACAAAAGATCGATCCCCTCAATAAAAGATCAATCCCTTCACCAAAGGATCGATCTATTGATGAAAATGATCGATCTCTTCCCTTAAAGGACCAATCGTTTTCTTGCAATGGTCGAATTATTTGAAAAAAGATCGATCCTTTTCACCAAAGTATCGATCCTTTCTACATTAAATGTTGTTTTTGGTTATAGGTAATGGTTATAATGATCCCCAACATGCTCCAAATGATTGTAATGAATAAAATCAAAGTCAAAGCATCTCAAGGATATCAAGAATCATATTGTATCTATCTACCAACATCAAAGTGTTCTGGTGTGCTTAATTTTCACATCTTTTTATTGTAACACACTTGTGAGCTACATTATTTAACTTGCTCAAGTGTGATTTGGGTGAGATCTAAATTGTGTAAACATATTTTTCTTGTGAGGTTTTTTCTTTTGTTTGCTTCATTTGCAATTACTCTTTGCAATAGTGTGTAAATCAAGGTTTTTATATAAATCTTGAAGTGTTTGTAAGATTACACATTGTCCTTAAAGGTAAGTAAATCTAGTTGATTTGAGAAATTTTCAATGTGTATACTAAGACAGTGAATGTAGACTTGACTTAGAAGTCGGACCACTCTAAATTGTTGTGCAAAATTTTTATTTTTCGATTGCTTCTACAACATATTTTTAAAGGTCATTTCACTCTCCCACTTAGCGTATTTCAATTGTTCGAAAGAGTTAACACAATTAACTCTATTTAAAACGAAATACTCATATGTATTTTGATACTATTTTATTGGTTGATATTTGATAAAGTTAAAGAACAAGATGCTATTAGAGTAGAGTTATTAACTTTATGAATAATGGCTAATGGGCTGTATTCATTTACATGATGATTAGTAGATGATTGTGAGCTTAATTAGAGAGATTTCACATCAAAAATCCAAAATTTCATCAAATGAATATTTCTCATTCCAAATAAAGGAGGGACAGCCTAAAAATGTATTAGTGGAGATGACATGTAGGAAAAGGGAAAGAGGGGGACAAATATTAGTAGGGCATGCACATGGTTCATGTTCACTTGTCTCAGTTTCCATGTGCTTACCCTAATCAAAAGCTATGTTAAACGGAATGGCATGATTACTTAGTGGGAGATTTGATGCTTCATCAATGTATTAATGGTTCACATTTAGAATGGCATGATTACTTAGTGGGAGATTTGATGCTTCATCAATGTATTAATGGTTCACATTTAGAGTTAAAAAGCCAATTTGAATTTTAAATGTTAGTTTATTTTGATCAAATTTGAATTATACCCTACTCAATCACTGTAGAATGTATATATAACTTCAATCCATATTTTTTTTCATAATAAATTTCCTTTTTTTCTATTTAATCTATTAATTTTACATTTTATTCAATTTGATCCTTTGACTCTATAGCTGTTTACAAATTATTTTCTCATTAATTTTTTGACTCTTTTATATTATCATCAGTATTTTAACCTCAAAATCACTTATTTAAAAAAAAAAACAACACTATAAATGTAGTATGTGATTTTAGATGATATTTGATTTATTAAATAGCATTACAAATCTTATTTACACATATAGAACAGAATATAAAGAACTATATATATAGTTAAATGAAATTGTTTAAATTGAAATCAAACAATATTATAACATTATAAATAAGCATAACCAAATTCGAACCAAAAATAAAACAAATGTATTCAATTTGACACAAATTTAATTTCATAAAGAATCTATTTAAATAATAAAACTATACTCGTCAATTTGACTAATCCAAAAATTTTCCACTTGTTAATCCAGAGGTCGTGGAGTATTTTTTTTATCATTGAATTTACCTATAAACATATATTATATCGAAAAAGAATAAGAAATATGATTATGGATGCATAAATCTTAACCTAAATCTTATTTTTCTATTAATTTTAGGTTAGTAAAAGATAGTATCTATCTAAAGATAATCCTATGTCATTTGAAATTTAGACCTCGCCATTCTTAATATTCGAACTCAAAACCATTAAAAATAACAACGATTCATTTATTACTCATACAGTTTCGTTCATGCTAATTAACCTAAATCTTAAGACGTGAATAAAGGAAGACATTGGAGAGCAGTAGAGTATACGAAAGGGCATATGTTTAGTTAATTAGACGTGTAAATGTAGCCACCAACCGAAGCCACCTATATTTTGCCACCCACACCACATGCGCTGATGTGGAACTACAGCTTACAGTAGTTTTTTTTAATCAATATAAAAATATCATTATTAATTCATGATATGTATTGTTATGGATCACCCCCACTTAGCTGTGCAGGGCCAGGCAACGTCATTAATACTATACGTATTGATATACCTAAATATTATAATGTACAATTATTGCTTTTATAAAAACAGTGGCACGTGCAGTAAGTCGACAAAGATGGATGGAAAATGAAAAAAGGCAAATGCGAGAAAACAAGTGGGGGGAAGTCTGTGGTGGCAGTAAAATTACATGCACATGGTTGGGGCATATCTATCTTCGCCTTCAATCATCATCAAATATTTCTTATCTTCTCCATTTTATTTATTTATTTTAATTTTCCGAATCATATTCGAATCAATCTCAAATTTAACCTTTCTATAGTTATTTTTTCAGAGATGTGATAATCTTGGACACTTCCTTTATTATCCCTGAATCTTAATACATGAGACTCATATGAGTGTATATATATTGAATGTTATGAGATGATTTTGAGATAATTTATTCAAATTTTTCTTAATATATTAACAACATACATGTAACCTACGAATGTAATTCTTCGAATTAAAATCATATAAAGAAAATAATATTTCTTTTGTGATTGAGACCGCTCAGTGAGTTTATATCTTAAACGGATATCAGTAATAGGTTATGATTACTATTAATGCATAGCAGTAGTTGGTTATTAATATTGCTTTCAGTTCGTTAAGATTGTTTCCTTTTGAATATTTCAATCTTTTTCTATTTATTTTTAATTCTTTTGGGGTTTAGGGTGAGGATGATGATGGATGAAAACAACAATACCCTTTGCTAAAACTGGATACAGATCAAGAACATGATGACAAAAGAAAACTGATTGCAAGGAAAAGGAAGAATTTTTTAAGAGTTAAACCCTGGAATAAATATGATTCTTACATGAATTTCTTAACTTAAACCAGACAAAGTAGGAGAGATCTGTCTGCACTGCATCCATGCACGCTTCTGTAATCTCTTTATGCTTAGTTTGGGGGTGGTGATGCTGCTGCTGCTGGAAATTTACCCAAAGCTTATTTCTTCTTTCTCGAATCTCGATACAATCTCTCATCCCGGATTCCTTCGAAACGGGATTCTTATTCACCAATAAATCAATAAATGGACCATGAAATACAATTGCAACTGCGTCTGCCGATGTCAGCTACTTCGAAGAAAACAATGAAGATGGCGATTTATTGAAGGTAATTTGAATTTGAAAGGAAGGGTAAGTGGGAGAATGAAATAACTGTGGACACATGGTACATTTTTCTCTTGTGATGAATGGTGTAGGGAGCTGCCATTGTTATTGGACCATGGTAAAAAAGGAGGGTGCGCCTGCCCCATTCCCTCCTCCATTAGGAGCGCTTGAATTCTGTCTCTGAAATTCTATCTTATAACCCATCTTTCGCTCTTCTTCCGATTCCTCATCTTCGTCTTCGTCATCTTCATCTACCTCGTCATCCATGTTATCGCTATCAGCTTCATCTACCTCGTCATCCATGTTATCGCTATCAGCTTCATGAATCTTGTCATATCCATCCACCAACAAGGATTGTCCTTGATGGTGTTGTCGTTGTTGCTGCAACTGCAACCCCTCCCCTTGCTCCTCCATCAGCTCCCTCACAATGTCTACTGGCTTCAATGCCAGCCCAACAAATTCATCAATAGCATCAAATGAAATGCTTTATCAAAATCCAATGGTAATTAATTATGACTATAAACAAGCAGGTGCGCAAAATAAATTTACCTTCTTTGCACCTTCACTGTTTCCTTCTCCATGGGGATTAGCATCAGCAGTAGGTCTAGTTTCGTTTTCGAATTGTGGTTGGGCTGCCGTGCTTGGTGGGGGGTCTTTAGTGTCTTGATTCTGCCGCGACGTTTCTTCTTCAGCTCTGTTGTGGTCACTAAAGCTGCCACTGCTAGTCCCACCTCCAAGTATTTTCTTACGGTAAAGGGCATCGAGCTGGTGAAAATAGGGACATGTTTTGGCATCCTCGGGACGTTTTTTGTTACTTTCTTTGACCCTTTTGAAGTACTTGTTGATGTTCTCCCATTTTTCCTTGCATCGTTTGGCGCTTCTCTTGTACCCCATCCTGGACATACCAGCGGAGATTTCTTCCCAAAAGGGGCCTTTTGGCCCAGCCTCCTGGTACCTGGCTTCAAGCCCGCTCCTAAGGTTTATAAGTGCAAGAACTTCAGCTTTAGGCCATCTAGACGACGCAGGTTCCATGCTCCCGCTCGCACCAATCTCCTGGGGTGGCACCTGCTGCTCCGGGATAGCCATTACTACCTCAGAAGAAATCGCCTGTTGTTGATGCTGATGTTGAACAACTTGTGCCTGCTGCTGCTGGTGTTGAATGTGCAATGCATGTGGCGGTGGTTGTTGTTGTTGCTGCTGCTGCTGGTGTTGAATGTGCAATGCATGTGACAGCTGTTGTTGTTGTGGCTGCTGCTGCGGTAACGACGGTGGCTGATGCGACGGTGTAGCTACTGTAGGAATAAGGGCCTCTGGTTGTGTTGGTGGAGGCGGGGGTGGAGCAGCGGGTATAGTAACAGTTGTTGTTGGTAACTGTATGGTCTGATTAGTAATCTTCTGAAGAAAGGAAATAATGGCAGCATCCCTTGAAGCAGCAATGGCACGTTCTTGAGCCATGAGTTCATGTTCGCGAGCTAACCTTGCCATCTCTTGTCTTTTCCAAGCTTCTTCTCTCACCGTCCTATCTTGCTCTCTCTTCTCTATGGCTTCCAAAAACCTTTGCTGCATGGCTTCTTGTTTCTGCATGACTTGTTTCATCAGATCCTCGAAGAATTCCATCTTCCTCCTCGTCGTACTACCGCCGCCTCGAGAAGACGATCTTTTGCGTTTACGGCTAGTGCCAGCCATGCTCGACGGTTCTCCTCCAACTCCAGCTTCATCTTCTTCGTCATCATCATCGTCAAAGCCTTGAGAAAAAGTAGAGCTATTAGAAGAGAAGCTAATACCAAATGGAACGGCTGTGGTGGTGGTGACAATAGGAGGTGCTGGCGCCGGGACTGGAGCTGACACTTGCATCGGAACTGGCGCAGAAGCGGATCCAGGAATGGATAGAAAAGAAGAAGACATTGGTGTAGCCGTTGTGGGTGGAATTCTGGCAGAATAAATAGGCATGGGGATCCCAACTGAAACAGGAGCCACGTCCAAGCTAGCGGCAGCGGCGGTGGCAGGTGTGACGGGTATCGAGACGTTGGGAGGAGCAGTGGCGGAAGTTGTATGAAGAGCCTCTAGCTGGCTGAAAAACTTATAACTCTTACCATCTTGACGTCCAGCTCGAGCTTCTTTTGTTCGCTTGTAGTACTTGTGGACGTTCTCGAACTTTTCCCTACACTTTTTGGCACTCCTTTTGTAACCCAGCTCCGCCAGCTTCCTGCAAACCACACCTATAGCTTATTATTATTATTTCACATGATCATCTGAACCAGACCTTTTGCCAGAAAGCCGAAGGAGATGAAACAATGAATGAAGCCTCGTAATAATCTTCTTGCTCGAATGAACATTGAACAACAAATTATACATATATATACGAAAATGCATCTGTACTTTCCACAGTCATAATCAATGATTAACCTTTTATTATTGATGTGAAAATGAAGAGAAAACCCAAATAGAAAAAGAAAGGAATAAAAAGAGCTGACTGATGAAGTGAATGAAGGTGGAGATTGTGGGAGGCTCTCCCTTTCATGGTGTTTAAGAATTTGTTTTCTTTTTAAAAAAGAATTCCTCTCGGGATTGGGTTAGAGTAGTTGCAGTGGATCTGGTCCATTTCTTAATTGTAAGAAAGAAGATGCCGCCAGCTCGTGAGTCGTGATGGAAACAGACAGAAGCCATGCGCGTGCGTGCAGATTGAGAGAGAGAGAGAAATGAAAGGGAAAAAAACGCCATTCCCATGAGTATTTCAGCAAGAGCAACGCTTGTTATGAATTCATGCTTGCTGATGATGATGACGACGATGATGGTTATAATTCTTTTTACCGGTTGTTGAATTTACTTGTGTTTAAAAGAAAAAGGAAAACGACTATGTTATTGGGTTTTACTTTACCTTGAAACATCTTCCCAAAGGGGGCCCTTGACAGAGGCATCACGGAAAGTAGCATCCATATCTGATCTAATCTTGAGAAGAGCCAGAGTCTCTTGACCTGGCCACCGGTTACCACTTGCAGCACCACTTCCTCCTCCTCCACGATCGCCTAACCCCAACTCATCTCCGCCGCCAACACTTGCTAGCCTCATGAACTCATCTAAATTCCCACCACCAGCTGGCGGTCTACTACTTATAGGTGATGCCGCTTCCACTAACTGCTCCGACGCCTCGCTTACTGCACCAATCGTTGGAGCACCACTCATCTCCCCGTATTGAACTTGCTGCTTTCCTCCTCCTCCACTACCACCTTCTTGCTGCATCTCCCTTTAATTTAATCGTATCGTCGATGAAGCCAGTTGGCAAAATCAGGAAAAATATTCTTCTTCTTTGTGTGTTATCAATGGTGCATCAAGATCTTCTTCTCCTCCCCCTCATCAATGGCAGTATACAGAATTCAGTTGAATTGTATAGCCCAAACCCAAATCTCCTCCCTCGACCTCCACGCAGCTGCGATGCTGTCTGTGTATGTTGAAAAAACAAAGAGAAAATGGGAGGGGGACTAATAATTGAAACGATAAAGAGAAGTTAAACAAAACAGTAAGTATGGGGTGATGTTAAATACGATTCAAGATTTCATTTTTATCTCTAAAAGGAAAAGCAAAGGAGAAAGCGAAGACAACTGGAAAGATTGGAAGGCAGGAAGAGTATTCCTACGAGTTAGTGCATCCCTTATAAAGTAAAAAGCTTGTCTCTGGGAAAATTAAAGAAGGAAATAACAGAAGGGCGTAATCATTAACAGCAACAGCTGCACTCTGCAACTTTTACGCAGAATAAAAAGCAAAGAGAAAGAGAGAGAAATTGAAGATAAAAAATGGATGGAGATTGAGGATGATTAAGAGAGAGATTGAGATAGAATAAGATGATGAATAAAGAAGACGGTGAAATGATAAAAACAGGCGCGCGAGAGAGGAAAGAGCTTTGTTGTCAGCCGCTTTCACTTTGCACCTAATAATTGTTAAAAATCACTTTTTGCCCCCATTATTTGTTCTACTTTTAATTTTAACTTTTATTACTCAATGCTTCTTATGCATCAATCCATAGGAATTAATTTTTATTTATTAGACTTAATATAATATTATTACAATTTGTTACGAATATTAGAAAAATAATAATGAACAAATTTCTTACTTTCATTAATAAAAAAATATTATTTTTGTTATTTGTTGTTGTATTTTTGTAAGGGTAAATTAAAATTTCATCACTCAACTTCATTTTACTTCTATTTTGATCATTAAAATTTTAAAAATTTTAAATATATTCACTGAATTTTTTATGCTCATACTTTAATCATTTTTTGTGTTAAATTTAATCGGAAGTAAAAGAGTGATAAGACAATAGATGTGTTGATGGGAGCTTATTTTTGTTGACATGATATCCATGTCATTTTTCTTTTCTTTTTTTATTTACTTTTTCCAATAATGAAAATTTTACAACTTCATCTTTACCTTACACCGGAGTTGCAATTACTATTAACTGACATCTTTTTCGATCACTTAAGATATTGATGAACTCGTTTTATTTTCTATAATTCTATCTATTTATATTTTACTTAAATCATTCTAAAATTCACGAAATCCAACCCCAAGCTCAAAACTCATAAAATCATAAATAATTTTGATCTATAATATCCACCATCTTATCGTTGTGAAATCAAGATATACAACTCATTTCCCACCATCTCCCCACTGTTATGATTTGAAAGAAAATAAAGGAAATTTGAAACTAGAGATTTTTTTATAAAAGAGAGAGAATTTTAAGACCATTTTATAAATTTTAAAAGAAAAATATTCAGTCATAACCTCATTACGTATTTAACGATGATTAAAATATGAGCAATTTAAAAATTTAGTGAGTAAATTAAGAAAATAAACTTTATAGACCAAAATAAGAGTGAAAATAAAACTTAGTGATTAAACCTATGATTTACCCTTTTTAAAACAAAGAAATAGATCTACCAAGGGACAGTGGCAAACTGGCAATGGTTCAAAAGACATTTTTCTAAAAAGAATGTATATTTATTTTACATTAAGTTAAACAAAACTTGTGGGACCGGTGTTACTAAGTTGCATGTGATAGGGGCCATTGCTTTTTATAATTAACAATTAATTAATAACAAAATTAAGAATCCCCTCAAGGATCTGCCTACACCCTGTTCCCATTTAAGTACGTGAACCCCAAATATCTGCATAATTATTTGCTGGTAAGAACTAATCTCCATCCTTAAGCTACCTTTATGTTTATTTATTTAGAGGAATAATTAATTATATTATTATTCTTATTATAAAGAATGTAATAATTTGGGGGGAAATAGGGATAGGACAGCATCACATTGGCACAGCTGTCAGAGGGACCCGCATTTTATAAGGCGCTAAGGTAAGAACGTGCGTTGCGTTCTCCCCCATTTGCCGCCCATTTGCCTTTACCCCATCACTCCTCCCCTTATTACAGATCACCCCATATTACACATATTCCTTTTTATATATACATATTTATAATTTGAATCTAAATTTATCACTTAATTTGTTTCCATGTTCACTTTATTTATTTATTTATTAATTTTTTGATTTTTTATTATCTTGATAATTCTAATATTAAATATTTAAGACGTTAGGACTGAATATCTATCTTTTAAAAATAATAAAATGACTCCAATTTTTTTTTTTTCATTTTTTGTTAAAGACTCTTGATTCCATATTCTCTTTGATTTCTTGATGATGAAACATCTTCTTTCAAATATTGACGGTGGAAAGATACAGAAAACAGAAACAAATTGTATATTTTGATTCTATGTTTATCATACGATGGATATGTAGGTTAGAGTGGTTTGGGAATTTGTGAGTTTTGGATTTGGTTGAGTTTCACGATTTTAAAGTGAATTTGAAAAACATAAAATAATAGATTGATAAGAGACGATGAGACGAGTTTCATTGATGTTTTAGATGACGGGAGAAAATGTCAGAGAATGATAATTTCAATATCAACACAATAAATAGATAAAACTATAAAAAATTTATTTTTAGAGGAAAAAAAATGATATGGATGACACATGAATATCGTGTTGACAAAAAAATTAAATCATACTATATTACTATTACGTCATTCTTCTATATCTAATTTAATGCTAAAATTTTCAAATTTTAGTTTTAAAAATAAAAATATGAACAAAATGCTGTGCTTAAATTTATCTTTAAAATTCAACCTGTTTACTAATTATATTTATATTTGAATTTTTTTTACCCATTTTCTTTTTTATTTTAATATTATCAGTGATTGTAGTTTACAAATAGTGTTTTGTGATTATTTAAGGGTTTTTTATTACATCATAGATTCCCGGTGTGGGAAGTGGTGAGTTTTTATTTGACGCCATTGCCAGTACATCTGAATCAGAGGTGTCCCCTTCTTTAATTAATTATTATTAACTTCCAATTTTTTTAATTAGGGATAGGCCGAAACCAATGTGAAATCAATCAGATGAATTGGAAAGTTAAGGCTGTAGGCTTCTTCTAGTAGCTTCTTGCCGGCGACTCAAGAAGCAAGCACGTCTCTCCCAGTCATGTTAGGTTTGTGTGATTGAAATTAGGGTTTGAAATTGCCTGGGTAAATTAGAATATGATTATTGCTCTAAAATTGAATTAGGGTTTTGAGAAAACGACAGTTCATGTCTTTCGAAGAAACCATGGCGTATGTCAACTGTCGATGCGTTGTTAATCCAAAGGTGATGTAAACTGTGCTTTCAACGTCTTTAAACCACACAATAGCACGATGAAAACTAAGGGTGAACTGCAAGTTTTCATCCCTCTACTTTGATTATATTCTTGTTTCGGTCATTAAACTTTAAAAAAAAATTATTTGATCATTCAATTCGGTCACTCTACCGACTACCGTTAGTTATTTTTACAGTGTTATGACAAGTCATCTAACTTTTTAGAATCATGAAACAGACCTACAATTTATTTTAAATTTATGAAAATACCTCTGAAATCTTCTTTTTTGAATATTTAATCTAACTTTTTGGATTCCCTTTGACTTTTTGATGGTTGGAGCATCTTCTTTCAGATCACAAAAATAGAGAGGTGGAGAAGGAGGAGACAAACAATATGTCATGATTTCACAGTAATCAAACAATGGAGATTGTAAATCATGGCCATCTTCCTCTGACTTTGGGTTGAGTTTTAAAGAGATTTTGATAAAATCTAATCTCATAGGGTGACAAGGGACGATAAGATGTGTTCGTTAGTGTCTAAAGTGATCGGAAAATATGTTAGAGAACAACAATATTAACTACGATGTAAGGTGAGGATGGAACTCTAAAAGTTTAATTTTTTTTGACAAGGAGATAAAATAGAAAACTAAAGTAATTACAAAAATGAGGTGGCTTCCACATTAGCAAAAAGGATACGCCGCATCACCCTATCGTTTCTGATTTAACGTTTGAGCGATTAAAATGAAGTAACTCGAGAGATGAATGATCAAAATGAAATTGTTTAAGATTTAATGACTAAAATAAAAATATGATCAAAGTTGAACAACGAGAAATATAGCTTAACTAAAAAAATCAATCAATCGCATTTTGCATTAAATGTTTTACTTGTCAGATCCGATAAATCGTTACCATTTACATTTGCAAGCACGCAATTTAATTCTTTTTACAAAACAATATGTAGATTATAGGTGCTCAATGAGTTAAGCAAAGCAGTTTGAACTTGATTAGTCAAAATTCGGTTAAAGTTCGATTCGAGTTGACTCAACTCAAATTTGAACTCAGTTCGAGATTTTTTAACAAAATCCAACTCGATCCGATAAGTTCGCGAGATAATTTTTGATTAAATTTATTAATTTATGTTTATATTAACTTCTATATAACATTAGTAAATTTTACCTACAATTAAAAAATAATGTAAAAATTTCGGTAAGTTTAACGAGCAATTATTCAAGCAACGAGCTTAACGAATAACGAGTTCAACAACAAGTTTTTTAATGAGCACGAGTCGAGCAAAATTTTAACGAGCTTAATGAGCAAAGAGTCAAGTCGAACAACAAATTTTTTTAACGAGCACAAATTGAACACTGCTTAAAATTCGGTTAAAGTTCGATTCGAGTTGGCTCAACTCAAATTTGAACTCAATTCGAGATTTTTTAACAAAGTCTAACTCGATTCATAAGTTCGCGAGCAACTCGTTAATTTTTTAGTAATCATCTTAAAAAATTACTAATTTAATATGTAATAAGAAAAGATGATAAATTACTAATATATTATTTTTTTAGTAAACAATAAAAGATATTAAATTATTAATCAATAATTATTATTTTACTACACCCAAAATCAAATTCTAATTATTATCTTGAAAGTTTAAACTTTAAAATTACTTTATACACTCTTTTGATAATTTTTGATTAAATTTATTAATTTATATTTATATTAAGTTCTATATAACATTAGTAGATTTTACCTACAATTAAAAAATAATGTAAAAATTTCGGTTAGTTTAACGAGCAATGATGCGAGCAACGAGCTTAACGAATAACGAGTTCAGCAACAAGTTTTCTAATGAACACGAGTCGAGCAAAATTTTAACGAGCTTAATGAACAACGAGTCAAGTCAAACAACAAAAAATTTTAACGAACACAAATTGAACACTGTTTAACTCGCAATCGATTTACTCAATAAACACCCCTAATATAAATCATGTACGTTTATCTTGTGTAATTTAACGACGCTTTACAGTGTTGTAGAATTTAAAAAAAAAAAAACTTTATGATCGTGAATAGAAAAATTATTTTCATAAAGAAATACATAAAAAGATTAAATGTATGGAAACGTCACATACAAACCCAATACATTTATTTTAAT